GGCGAGTCCAGCGACAGCTTCCTTGCGGCTTTCACTGCCACGCAATCAATAATATATATATATATATAATACTTAGTAGTACTTAACAAAGATGTGTGTCAGCACCAGTTGCTATCTAATAAAATAATAAAAAAGTCTTATTCAATCATATTACATGCTATCTAAATAGTAGTGGGTTAGCCAATGGCCCAGACTCTGAGGTAGTCCTTACAGTTGCAACCACATTGTAGCAGTCTTATTTAACTTATTAATAATATTAAATTGTAACAATAGCACTAGCAATATCATTAACATATAACATAATGTTTAGGGACAACAAGGGACATAATGGCCCAACTAGACCATCCCACCCTCAAAACTAAACTAAAAGTACCTGCCAAAATTTGTGTACCCTAGTCATACCATTCTCATTACTAAGTATGAAAAAAAGATGATGTATCAACACTATCAATTCCCTTAACAATCTGAAACTCCTCAATCAGATCCCCTTTAACTCTTTGTTTTTCAAGAGGCCTTAACTTCTCCTCTTAACTGTTTCCAACAATTCATTGTTCTTCCTAAGGTAAGGAGCCTTAACACAATACTCCAAATGTGGCCTAACCAGTGACTTATACAATGAAGTTGTTACCTCTTTAGACTTGTATTCAATATTTCTACAGATATAACCTAAAATCCTGTTTGCCTTACCACTAGCAACAGCACTCTGCTTGGATGGTTTAAGACTAAGACACTGGTCAAACACTACACCAAAATATTTTTCTTTCATAACACTATTAAGGCTATTCCCATCCATATTATACTTATATTTCAAATTATGATAACCCACATGCATTACTTTACACTTATAATTAAAACCCATCTGCTATTTATTCGCCCAACTCACTAAATAATCTAAATCCTTTTGTGAAGCAGCAGCATCCTCTTCAAAGCTAGCAACACCCAAGACCTTAATATCATCAGCACATTTAAACAAATTACTGACCATTCCTTCATCTATGTCACTGATATAGATAAAAAAAAGCAAAGGTCCTAAGACTGAGCCCTGAGGCACCTCACTTGTGACATTAATCCAGTTTGACTGAACTCCATTTATAACAACCTTCTGCTTTCTTCCATCCAGTCATTCTATCCAATTAGCTAACTTATCCCCCCCCATACCTATAGAGATAATTTTTTTTACAAGCCTTTTATGTAGCACGTTGTCAATCAAATGCTTTCTGAAAATCCAGATACACCAAATCTACACCTATAGCCTCATCTACATAAGTATTAACCTTTTCAAAAACTTTCAACAAATTTTTAAGGCAAGATTTTCCCTTAATGAAACCATGCTGACTATCCAGTAGAATTCTAAACTTTGTTAAGTGACTTGCAAACCATCTTTTATCAGACTTTCCAAAACTTTTCCCACAACTGATGCAAGACTAATAGGCCTAAAATTACTGGAACACTTTTTATGACCTTCCTTGAAAAGAGAAGCAACATTTGCCAACTTTCAATCCTCTGGCACTTCCCCACTGTTTGAGGACTTACAAACATTAGTAGGAAGTGGCTCACATATCCAATCCTTAACCTCCTTAAAAAACCTTGGGGTAATATTATCTGGCCCAAGCAGCCTTATCATTCTTTAAACTTCCCAATGTTTTTTTTAACTAGCTCAGAATTAATGCAAATCATATCGTCCAATTTTTTTTCAATCTATCAACTGTTCAAGATGAGGAATACTTATTAAATCTTAGTTAGTAAAAACTGGGGAAAAAACAACATTTAATAACCCAGCCATCTCATAATCATTAGATACAAGCCTTCCTTTATCATCCCTCAAGGGTCTACCCTCATCCTAACATTTTGTTTACCCTTAATGTATTTAAAAAAAATCCTTCCTGTTAATTTTTACATTTTCAGCTAACCTTTTATCATACATCCTTTTTGATGTTTTAATTTTCTGCTTGACCTACTTTCTTGATCTTCTAAATCTCCCATCATCCCAGTAAATTTACGTTTCTTAAATTTATGATGCTTTTTTTAATGTTATCCCTTATATTCTTTTTGAGCTAACCTGGTTTTTTAATTGCAGCTACCCTTTTATTTCTATATGGAATATGTTTATCTTGAATATTTATCTTTTAGAAACTTTCCACATTTGACCAGTGTCTCCAAATAATGCAGCTGCCCAATTCACAACAAATAACTCTTGTTGCATCCCTTCAAAATGAGCTTTTCTTTAAATTTGTAACCAAAATATCATTATTCTTGTTCTTCATTTACAGCAAAACACTGAACCTAATAGAGCAATTATCATTTGCACCCAGATGTTCCTCAATTTCCATCTTCTCAATCACTTTTATAATAGAAGTTAACAATATATCTAAAATATCATTGCTTATAGTGGGTTCTTGAACCAATAGACAAACACCACCTTGAACAGTTTCCAAAAACCTTTCTCTCTCTCATGGTTTGCCTCTAACATTTCCCAATCTATATACCTGGAATTAAAATCACCCATAATTATGACTTCATTATCACATGAAATCTTAATCTCACTGTAAAGTTTCTCATTAAACTAATTTCATCAGTATCATCTGGTGGTCTGTAACAAATTCCCACTAAAATATCCTCTAATAGTATTGGAAACCCAAATGGATTGAACCTCCTTGCTATCTCTTACAAGTATAATCTTCGATATCCTCAACTTTAACAATAACAGGACATAACTCACATTTTATATATAAAGCCACTCCTCCCCTCCCTTTAGTAGTAGTACTCTACCCTTAATAATACTAATAGAATTAAATAAATTATTACTATTAGCGCCAGTCATTTTTTATTGTTTTAGTTTTTGCTTTTACTACGTACCATCTTCCTCATCATGAAAGCTCAACAACTTTGTTGCTGGTTGATTTTTTCGGGATTTTGTACCATCATAAATATAGTTAATATCGGGCTTTTCACCATAAGCAACATTTGATGTTTCGTTTTCTTTAGCATTAGGTTCTAGTACTAGACCTATTCCTGAAGACGAAACACCGGTTAAAGTAAGGCCTAATCCCGTTTGTTCCTTTTCAATCGGTGCTACCAATAACTTGTTTTGGCTTTCCGTGTCTAGAGACACCTCTTTCGGATTTTGGCCTATTTCACAAGCAACTTCTTTTAGATTCCCGCTGTTAGCTTTTTTTTCTTCGTCGCTTAATTCATTGTCAGAATCACACTGTTTGATTCTCTGTCTAAAGTTTCTTTTCGGTTTTTTAAACAACGACATTTCCCACGCTTACTTCACTGTTTTAACTTCAACTTTACAAAACAAATGAATCAAGCTCCACATACATTTTCATGAAAGGGACTGTTTAGTAAATATTTAAATTTTGTCGAAAATATTTTAGTATGAAAATTGGGAATAACTTACTATTTAGTCGAAAAATGGAATCATATCTTTCGCACAAAATAATTTTCATCCAATAAATCCAAATTTATACTTTTTAATTTTAGAAAAACAAACAGTCAAATATGTTTATGATATCATTTGAAAAAAACAAACAAACAACAACATGAAACCCAACAAGTGTGAATATATGAAAACAAAAACATAACTCAATAATCTAGGTTGATGATGACCCAAAGAGATCGAAACATTGTTATTTGTTTTGTGCTTTTCAAATAAAAGTTTGCTATACCTATATCAGCTGTCTCTACTATATATATATATATATTTACTTCAAGAAAAAGAAGAGCAAGGTAACCTCATTACATTCATATACTTATCCAAGACTCCCACTCCCCACCCCAGTGGCTCAGAGGTAAGTCTAAAGGCTTATAACGCTAAAAATCTAGTTTTGACACCTGTGTGGGCAGAGCATAGATAACCAATTGTGCAGTTTTGTGCTTAACAAACAAGCTTTCTTATTTTGTACTTTTGTTTAAAGATTAAAGTGCATAATTTTATAACTTGGAGTATAATGATTGTAATTTTTATCAAATAGTGGTAAACTTAAGATATTCTTGTGTTGTAGTTAGTTGTAAATCTATGTTAAAGGATTCTATTTTGTGTTCAGTGTAAATCATTGTTAAATGGTTTTATCTTGTATTATAATACTGTTACGTCTCCGTTTGTTAATTAACTTTCCGTAACTTCGTTCCGACGAAACTTTAGCGACACAAGTCCTTACTTAATAAAACTGGTTTATTCTTTCTGAATATAACTTCACGATACACTTGATTTCAACATTCGCACTAAAACAAATGTTATAACGAACGTTAACTTCAACAATACTTTCTCACTGCAGATCAATTACTCACTATCTACACAAACATTATTGTCACCATCTTATATATACCAGCTCACCCCCCCCCCAATCTAGTAAATGCTAGAGCACTCCCGAAAAAACGGGATAGTTCTAGAAAGCAGGTGGCGTGACAATAGTCACGTGATCTCGCTGACGCAACACCGCCCCCTCCTTAGTATTGTTCGTCCCGAACAACAGCCACATACAATAAACCAATAACAATTAACAATAA